GATCAAACGCTACAATCACAGCGAACTGATCTGTACGCGATCACCATAGCATAACCAATAATAACAGATAATTAGATAATAATAGCCTGAGCCAGCAGCAGGCTATGATCCGGCTTGTATCTGATCGTGAGCTATTCAGCTGACGAATTTGAGTGTCTCCCCGATCAATCAATAAATCAAGCGAAAACAAACCCTCGAGAACATCATCTTCAGATCTGGCTGTGGATGATTCCAAGAGGCTATCGCATCGCACAAGAATATAAACTCCTTAAATATTCATCAACATTTCAACTAAACCTAATATTGAATTATGTATATCACTTAAGAAAAATGGAATAATATCAACAACCACTAACAATTATCTTAATGCTGACGATAACTATGGTTTAAAAACAACTGAATACCACTAAAATATCAAACTCATTTGCCGTTATAACCACAATTACAATGTCAATGTCAAGTGCACATGTCAATTATGACAAATGACAAAAATAAATGATTTTGAAGTGTCCAAACAATTAATGTCAAAAAGTGTCAAAGTGTCAAAAAAGTGTCAAAAAATGTCAAAATTGTCAGTGTCAAAAAAGTGTCAAAAAATTGTCAAAATGTCAAAAAACAACTGCACTCAGAAAACGACCATTTTCAATACCAATAAACGTAAAAATTCAACAAAAAAAGGGTCCCATCACCTACCCCCAGCACCCCGGCCGGATTCACGTTGATCATGATGCACAGACCACGGAAAGCACTCTCCTTCTCCTCGTTATCCCTTATATTCCTCAACGCCAAACACCATCCTCGAATGAATTGTGCCAGATACGGAGCCACTTCGGCGCTACAGTTTATGCCGAGACGTCCCAGGGTTATGGCTGCAAATTTAACGACGATACACAAAAATATAGATAGCTATTATTAACTTTATTATTACTATTATTATCATTATTATTATTATTATTATTATTATTATTATTATTATTATTATTATTGAACTGAAAAAATTTAATTGAAATTTAAGAACATTGTCATAAAGGAGGTATACTCTTCTCGTTATTTTTATTACTTTTGTTGATTATTATTATTA